CCCTGTCTCCTGGTCTTCAAGCCCTGGCCCATTTCCACACTGAATGCAAGGGCTGATGTGTATAACCAATAGGTTATCATGGGAACAATGACGTGTCACTTCTGAGCTTAGATTGTCAAAAGGTCATTTTGGCTTCTGTATTGTTCTCTCGGCTCACGCACTCTGGGGGAGGCCAGATGCCATGTTGTCAGGACTCCAAGCTTCTACAGAGAGGTCCCCTGGCGAGGAGCTAGGGCCACCTGCCCACAGCCAGGTGAGTGAGCCCTGTTAGAGCCGCCTTCCACTACCAGGCGGGCTGTGACCGCAACTCCAGGAGAAACCCTGAGCCAGAACCAGCCAGCAAAGGTGAATTCTTGACCCACAGAAACTGAGATAATGTCTGCTGTTTAAAGCTGCTAAATGTGGAGGGTAATTTGTTGCAGAGCAAATGGTCTAGTGCATGAGAAGTGTTTAGGACAGTGCTTGGCACACTCCATCATGAATGTATGTGAAGCACTGAGCATATAGTAAATGCTCATTAAATATGTGTTAAACGAATGTTAGGTATTGTTTTCTTTACTACCATTATCACCCGCATCATTGTATGCAACCTCAATCCACAATCACTTCCCAAATGAGCTGGATTCTCACATTTCTTCTCTAAAATTGTTAAAATAGAGCTACTTAAAAATGTGATAGCCCAAGAAACAAGAATTCAAACTCTACCCTGAGGGCTGGCATTTACTCTGGATGCTCCAGTTTAGGACAGTGCTTGGCACACTCCATCATGAATGTATGTGAAGCACTGAGCATATAGTAAATGCTCATTAAATATGTGTTAAATGAATGTTAGGTATTGTTTTCTTTACTACCATTATCACCCACATCATTGTATGCAACCTCAATCCACAATCACTTCCCAAATGAGCTGGATTCTCACATTTCTTCTCTAAAATTGTGAAAATAGAGCTACTTAAAAATGTGATAGCCCGAGAAACAAGAATTCAAACTCTATTCTGAGGGCTGGCATTTACTCTGGATGCTCCATGTTCACTATCCTGAGCCACATTTAGGTGAAACAGAAATACATGATATGCCCGGTGCGCCCAACCCCAGGTGAGCACCCGGATAGAGAGAGGTAACACCAGTGACTCACCGTCCACACAGGAAGGCCGGTTCCTGGTCGTTCCGGCCACTTTCCCAGGTAGACAGGAGCACTTCACCGTCTGCGACCGCTCCTCGATGCGGTTCTTATTACAGCATCTGTGCGCGGCTATCACTTCACACGTCCCTCCTTCTGGCGAGAGAGAAAGAATAGGGCATCTGATGAGAGGGCATTCAGCGGCCATTTATGCCTGTGGAGACCCGAGGGGAAGGCTGGGGAAATGGTGTAAGGGAGAGAAATGATAGAAAGAGCCACCCTGAGATCTAATTCCTACGGGATTCTTCCCACCCTCTCCATGTAACATGTACATATACATGTAGACACAATTACGTACAAGGTCTGTGTGATCTTGAGGAGGACAACGGCATTGTAATGCACTTCAAATGCAACAAAGGCACCACGCAGAGCTCCGGGGAGGGCGACTCGGGGCTGGCGTGCTGAAAGGCCGAGCTCAGTGAGCGCCTGGGGCTGCCACAGAGAAAGGGGCGGCCTGACTTGAGTGCCTGAGACATGGGAGCTCACTCCTGTGTTACCTTTGATTTGCGATTCTCTGTGCTCCCGTTAATGGCAAGCACCTGCTCCTCCAGCGATGTAGCGCCTGCAGAGGTGGGAGGACTGCCCAGGATTTCTCTCTCCCTCCCGCTGCCTGCCCTCTCTCAAGGGGGCGCCATAGAACATCTAACTGGGAGTCATTTTCCCAATCCAGATCCGTTCCAGAAAGTATAGGAATAACCGCTGGGAAAATAGGTCTATGCTGTAAATGGCACCTCAAACCAGAGACCGAAGCAGAAGGCTTCGCTGGTTGCTGCAGGCCAGCCATGCATTCCTCAGCGTTCCTTGGCACCTACTCATGTCTGTCCCTCTCCTCCGGGTTCTTCCTGGGGGCACTGCCGTGACTGTGAGGTTTGGTGAGCATTCAGGTGGGCCTGTCCTGCCTGAAGGGCATCCCGTTCCCCGGGGACATAAAAGACCCTCCAAGTGACCAAGAACCAGAAATTATCTTCCCAACATCAAGCTTAGCATTTAGAAAAACTGTTTTTCTTTTGACAAGAATCAGCCATCACATTTATGATTCTGGCATTTAGGATTCAGTTGGCAGAAATGCAACACGCATTTGCTAAGCAACCACTATATACAAGTTACTGTGTTATAAACTGTATGGGAGCACTTAAAAAAGGGGAGGAAAAGAAATTAAGAAAAAAGAAAGAAAAAAAATCATTGATAAAAGGAAGGGGCGGGGAGGAAGGAGCGAGGACTGAAGGCAGCTCCATCCTGTCCTAAAATGTACAGTGCAATCAATGCTCCTCAGTGCAGGGGTGGGGGCTGAGGTGGTCTGACTATTTGTCCTACCCACTAATGATATTTGACAAAACTGGAGACATTTTTAATCATCATGACTGTGAAAGTTGGATGAAACTTTCCATCGGTTGCCTCCTGTATATTCCCCGACCAGGAATCAAACCCACAACCTGGATATGTGCCCTGACTGGAAATCGAACCGTGACCCTTCAGATGCTCCAACCAACTGAGCCACACCAGCTGAGGCACATCACTACTGAATTTAATATGTTGCTCAAAATATTCCAACTTTGGCCACTGTGAGCTCTTTCAGGTGATTTCTGTGTATTCCCCTCTCCCCTTTTCTTGAGCACTTCCTTACTTTCTGGTGCTACAAGACCCTCCAGATTTACCTCATTTATGTTCTATGCTGGTCCTAGAATCAGCCATTTCTCTAAGGAGACTGTCATTTAATAATATTAAATACATTATTTATATTATTAAATTATTAACTGGAGGCCCAATGCACGAAATTCATGCAAGGGGCTCAGCCCTCGCAGCCCCAGCTTCATCTGGAAGGTCTATTAAAATGATTTATAATTTTTCAATTAAAGTTGACATTTATTATTATACTAGAGGCCTGATGCATGAAATTTGTGCAAGGGGCTTGGCCCTCGCTGTCGCAGCAGCTGCCTCGGCCCTCCCAGCCTTGGCTTCATCCAGAAGGTCATCTGGAAGGATGTCCAGAAGGACATCCAGAAGGTGGTTCAGCTGTCTGGTCTAATTAGCATATTACGCTTTTATTATTATGATTAATTTCAGGTGTGTAGCATAGTGATTAGACATTTATACAATTTACAAGGTGACTCCCCCAATAGGTCTTGCACTCACCTGACACCATATATAGTTATTAAGATACTACTGATTATATTCCCTACACTGTAATTTACATCCCCATGACTATTCTGTAACTGCCAATTTTTACTTTTTAATCCCTTCACCTTATTCACCGAGCTCCTCAAACCCCTTTCCATCTGGCAACCATCTGTTTATTCATTCTATCTATGCGTTTATTTCTGTTTTGTTTGTTTATTTTGTTTTATAGATTCCACATTAAGTGAAATCATATGGTAGCTGTCTTGCTCTATCTGACTTATCTCATTTAGCACAATACCCACTAGGTCCATTTATGTTGTCACAAATAGTGAGATTTCATTCTTTTTTATTATTGAGTAAAATTCCATTGTCTATATATACTACATCTTTTTAGCCAATCCTTTTTCAATTGGAGCATTTAATCCATTTATATTTAAGGTAATATATAGTTATATAGAGATATGTGTAATCCATTTACATTTAAAGTAATATATAGGTATGCAGTTCCTGCCATTTTATTAATTGTTCTCTGTTTTTATAGTTCTTCCCCATTGCTTACTAGAGGCCTGATGCAAGAAATTTGTGCCAGAGTAGACCCAGGTGCCAGCACTGGCTTCTCTCTGGCACCTGGGACTCGGGCTTCCCTCCGGCTGCATCTGGAAGGACAGAAGGACGTCCGGAAGGATGTCTGCTCTAATTAGCATATTACACTTTTATTGTTATAGATTCTCTGCTCTTGCATGTTGATGACTTTTTGTAGTGTTGTATTTGGATTCCTTTCTCATTATTTCTTGAATATCTCTTGTAGACTTTTGGTTTTTGGTTTCCATGTACTTCATGTATACCAAGCTACATCTATAATAGTCTATTTTAATTTGATCATCACTCTAAAATTACTACCACTTTTACTCACCCCTTCTATATTTATGTTTTGTCATTATTTTTTATTTCTTTTTTGTGTATGTATTTGTGTGAATTCTTTAATTTACTGTTAAAATTGTATGTGATCTTCTTACATTTGTTGTTTAAAAACAATATTTTTATTGATTTAAGAGAGAGAGGGAGAGGAAGGGAGGGATGGAAACATCAATGATGAGAAACAACATTGATTGGCTTCTCCTGCATACCCTCTACTGGAGATCAAGCCTGTAACTCTGGCATGTGCCCTGACTGGGAATTGAACCATGATTTCCTGGTTCATGGGTTGATGCTTAACCACTGAGCAATACCAGCTGGGCCCTACATTTTCCTTTTAAGCTTTATATTAGTTTTAGTGTTGGTTGATCCACTGCTTTTGTCAGTGAGAATTATTTTTTTTTTGAGATATTTTCTCACTTATATTTTAAATTTTTTTCTCCTTAAAAATGTTCCTCTAACAATACTGGTTTGGTAGTGATGAACTCATTCAGCTTTTTCTTGTCTGGGTAGCTCTTTATATGTTCTTTGATTCTAAATGATAGTTTTGCTGGATGGAGTTATCTTGGTTGTAGGTCCTTGCTTTTTATGACTGAATATTTTGTGCCAATCCCTTCTGTTCTGCAAAGTTTTTGTTGAGAAATCAGGTGATAGCCTAATGGGAACTCTCTTGTAGGTCACTGCTTTTCTCTTGCTACTTTTATGATATTCTCTTTGTCTTGAATCCTTGGCATTTTAATTATGATTTGTCTTGGTGTGGGCCTCTCTGTGTTCATTTTGTTTGAGACTCTGTGATTTCTTGATTTGTGTGTGTATTTCTTTTACCTGGCTAGTGAAATTTTTTGTCATTATTTCTTCACATAGGTTTTCAATCCTTTCTCTCTCTCTCTTCTCCTTCTGGGATCCCTATGATATGAATGTTGTTACACTTAGAGTTGTCCCAGAAGTCTCTTAAGCTATCCTTATTTAAATGTATTTTCTGCTACCTTGTCTACCAAATTGCTGATCAGATTGTCTATTTAGTCTAATCTGCTATTGGTCCCATTTGATATATTTTTAATTTTAGTTATTGCATTCTTCATTTCTGACTAGTCCTTTTTTATGCTTTCCATCTCCCTTTTTATGCTTTCCATCTCTTTGTTGAAGTTCTCACTAAGATCACCTATCCTTCCTCTGAGTTCATGGACACTCCTTATCAGCTGTATTTTTAACTCCACCTCTGATAGATTGTCTCCAGTTTGTTTAGTTTCTTTTTTGCAGTTTTGTCCTGCTCTTTCATTTAGGGCACATTTCTTTGTCTTATTTTGGTTGTCTCCCTGTATTTGTTTCTATGTATTAAGTAGATCTCTTATGAGTCCCAGTATTAGCAGAGTAGCCTCATGTAGTAGGTGTCCTGTGGGACTAGTTTTGCGGTCTCTCTAGTCCCCTGAGCGAAGTGCTCCAGGAGTGTATCTTGTGTGTCTGAGACTTGATTGTTGTTGGCATATTGGTGGGTGGGATTGACCCTTAGGTTGACTGGCTGTGAGAACTGGCTATGACTATAGCAGACAAACTTTTGTGTGGGGCTTACCCCATGGAGTGGGATTCACTTTAGCAGGCTCAGGTGTCAAGTCTGCCCTTTGGGTGTGATGTTTGTGGCATTAATTGGGTGGTCTTCTTGTGTGGTCTGAAGTTTGCCACCAAGTATATTGATTCTGGGGCATTGGGGTAGGGACTCTGGTTAAGGCTAAGTTTAGCCACTGCCTGTGTCCAGTCCAGGGCCACCTGGTAGGAGCTACAAAGCGATCTGTACTTGCTAGATGCCTATGCTGGGCTTGGAAGTGCCTGGGAATGGCTATGCTATGAACTGAGACCACCTGCCACTAGTACAGGGCTTGGAGTCACTTAGCCAGAGGTATGGAACATGTCTGCTGGGCTTGGAAGTGCCTGGGAATGGCTATGCTATGCTATGAACTGAGACCACCTGCCACTAGTGCAGGGCTTGGAGTCACTTAGCCAGAGGTATGGAGCATGTTAAGGCCAGCTGCTGCTTGTTTGGGTTTTGGTATCTTAGAGAAATTTAG